TTGACAACCTCATTATCTAGTGGTCGTAAGCGTGATTGCTGATTAGTAAAGTAAAGTAAAGTTACAGCCTATATACGTCCCACTGCTGGGCTCAGGCCTCCCCTCATTTCTGAGAGGGTTTAGGGCAAGGAAGTGTCCGCCGCGCTGCCCAAATGCGTGTTGACGAACTTCACATGCCTTCGAAATATTTTTTTTTCTTATTCCTCAGACATGCAGGTTACCTCACGATGTTTTCCTTCACCGCCGAGCACGTGGTAAATCAGCACTTAAAATTGCAATTAACAATTTCATTGGTGCCGGCGGGGATCGAACCCGGGTTACTCGCGTTCTGTTATATTTACAGCGAGCGTTAACCACTGAGCTACCACGGCTCAGTGGTTAACGCTCGATCGGCGATCGCCGAAACGGCTGATTGCTGATTATGAGGTTCGAATCTCGGGTCCGGCCAAAATTAGTTATGGGGTTTTACTGTTTAGAAAATTCTCAGTAGCGGCCTGGAGTTAGGAAGTTGGCGCTGTTTCAGAAAGCAACGTAACGCCGTTGGTCGTGTCTCATTGGACTATATGAGTGAGAGAATAAAGAGAGAGCGCCTGTGCTGTGCTTGTTGCGTATACAATCCTGCACTATAATCCTGCCCTGCGGAGATGGCTAGTCTTAATTGAGATTGGCCATCATGACCGAAATTAGGTCTGGAGGACATTATATACTGATTTAGTGGATCCAATAGGTGGCGTAATTTTATATTTTATTTTAATTATATATTTCTGTCTCAAGCAGTAGCATATTAAAATTTAATATTTGTCATATTACGTTGAACCTACTTGAATGAAATATAACGAATTGTAAACTGAAAGAGAGAATGAACTAGAACGTTCAATGAACTCGAGCGAGGACGCGGGTGTGAGCTAGTCATCGCAAAATTCACGGCCTACTTATCCTCGCGTCTTGACACTCGACACGTCTCGGTTGCAGCCAGATGTATATTTAGATCCAATTGAGAGTTATCTATCGCCCGTATCTCTGGCTCACACACGTCTGGATTGCATTATCTCTCACATGCGATCGGAATACGCGTTTGTGAAATGACTGGAAGTCATCGAATGACATTTATCGAAATGTATGCCACGATAGTATTGAAGTGGAATCGGGTTAAGCGATAGACGAGTCTTTGACCCCAAGATATTCGTCAATTGTTTTTCTAACTCAATTCTCATTTAACGAAAGGTATTTCCATATTATGTATCAGCCCCAGATGTGGGGTACCTAATGTTTTTTTTAAAAGAAGCTGTGTTATATGTCTGTCTTTGTCAAGGTCTGTGGCCTAAACTAGGCTTGATGGATTTAAATATATTTAATGCTTTAACCATCAAGCATGTTCATTATCGGCTTGCTAAAATAAATAAAAACTAATTCCGCTTGTTCGCATACGATATGAATGACTGCTAACGTTGTAAGTTTTCTTCAGTAATGAAATCATACATAAACTTTGAACTGCTTGTTTTCAAAGTTGGTAGAGCCACACTGCAGTTATAGCTATATCATGGTTGTAGCACGAATGGATCGGCTCGACTGGAGAGGTACTACACTCTCATACCTGCGTAAAATAGAATAGTATTTATATTTATTTAAAATAGCAGCTTCATACTGCTATGTTTCTAAGTGTAGAGAACTGTATACTCCTTTTACTGGAAACGAGTCATTCCATCTTACGAGGGGTGATCCAAAAGTAATGATAATCGGTTACTTCAGGTCCGCATAAAAATCCAAAAAAAAAAATATTTTTTTGCTTGCTTATATACTCAATACGTCAGCCTAAAAAATCATATAAATAGATCACGATTTCCGGGAGATACATTCCTTTGAATACGAACTGTCAAAGAGATAACATCAACGTGGAGAAAAACGAAATTAGAGCTGTCATCAAGTACTGTTTGAAAAAAATGCCTTCAAAAGACATAAACAGTGACTTAGTGGAAACATTAGGGGACTCTGCTCCTCCATATTCTACAGTTGCACGCTGGGCCAAGGAGTTTAAACTGGGCAGAACATCCACTGAAGATGAACATCGCGAAGGACGCCCATCCACTTCCCTCACTGAAGACAACGTGAAAAAAGTCGAAGATGTTGTGTAGGCAGATCGAAAAGTGACCATCAGGCATGAAGCTGAGGTCACAGGGATCTCATATGGCAGCGTTCAAATAATCCTTGCGAACGAGTTGCATATGAAAAAGGTCTCTGCGCGTTAGGTACCCAGAATGTTAACCGACGAGCAAAAGAAAAATCGAGTTGACATTTTGAGGGTCAATCTCGAAAAGTTCCAAGCAGATCAAGAACATTTTTTGTTCCGTTTTGTGACTATGGACGGGACCTGGATCCACCATTTTGATCCGAAACGAAACAACAATCGATGACTTGGAAGCGAGCCTCCTCACCGACACCAAAGAAATTCAAAGTTTCAAGTTCGGCGGGAAAGGTTATGGCATCTGTTTTTCGGGACGCTCAAGGCATAATTATGGTGGAATATTTGGAAAAGGGAGCCACTATTACGGGCTCTTACTACGCAGACCAAATAAGAAGATTACGTGAGGCCATCAGGGAAAAAAGACGCGGCAAACTGCGAGCTGGAGTGCTGTTTCACCAAGACAACGCACCGGCTCACAAAGCCGCAGTTGCGATGGCTGCCATTCAAGAAACGGGATTCGAACTGCTCGAACACCCTCCCTATTCGCCAAAATCTAGCTCCTAGTGACTTCTACTTCTTTCCTCGGCTCAAGGAACGCCTCCGAGGCAAGAAATTCAAAGACGATAGCAAATTAATGGCCGCTGTTGAAGCGTTTTGGGAGGGTCAAGACAAAGAATTTTTTTCAAAGGGAATCCTGGGTTTAGAAAAAAGATAGGACTAAATGTATTGATTTGTTAGGAGACTATGTAGAAAAATAAATTATTATTTTAACTTTAATTACCTTGTTTTATTTTCATTATCATTACTTTTGGATCACTCCTCGTAGTCCTCAGGAATTACAACGCATTTGCATTTTGATTCTTAATTGAAGACATAATGTAATGTCTATGTGCCACAGCACGCCATCTTACCATCACGGGTAATGTGTGCTCGTTTGTCGCTCATATTCTAATAAAATATTATGTGTACCTGACGACTGACCGGAGCAAAAAATCCGATTTGAGGAATAATAATCAGCTTACCTTGGCCTCGGCCATGACAGGCATTCTTAATGAGGGCCTCCGCCTACACACATAGGCTTAGGAGTAATTAGTGCAAGTGACCGTGGAACGGGTAACGCTTAATGCAACGTGTACGATGGATTTGCAACAAATGATCTAACGTTTATATCAAGAACTGTGAACGGCAAGCGCTGCAGCGAATCATCTTTTACAGGTGGTAGAGCCACGCCCGGGGAAGGACCACGCTCTCACAGAATAGCAGCACAATGCTGCTGTTTCGTATGGCATGTGTAGAGAACCGAAGACCTTTTTTGGAAACGATGCAATCTATCTTAGTCCGCAGTGGTGACAACGCATCTGCGTTTTGATTCTTAATCGAGGATAAATATAGATGTCTATGGGCCACAGCATCCACTAACCATCAGTTGGACTGTGTGTTCATTTGTCACCCTTATTCTACAAAAAACATAAACTAAAAAACCTGAAAGCACCATTTATTCCGTGAGTCGTAGTAGCTGACAGCTTTCGCTGTAAATTTCACAGTATGCGAGCGCGAGGGTTCGATCTCCACCGGCGCCAATTAAATTATTAATTGCAATTTTAATTGCTGATTTACCACGTGCTCGGTGGTGCAGGAAAGCATCGTGAGGAAATCTGCATGTCTGAGAAATAAAACAAAAAAATTTTTTCGAAGACATGTAAAGTTCGCTATCACGCATTGGGGCAGCGCGGCGGACACTTCCTTGCCCTAAAACCCTCTCAGAAATGAGAAGAAGCCTGTGCCCAGCAGCGGGTCGTATATAGGCTGTTTCTTTTACCACTTAGTTACCAATGGGTTCAACCAACATGTCTTTCTACATTCGTAAACGTTAATAGATAACTATAAAAATGAAACTATTCATTAAACCATACCAGCCTCTTAAGATTCGCTGCTAAATATAGGCCTGCGTCAAAGAAGGGAATTTGTCATAGTTGCCACGCATGGGAGGGGGGTTGACAACCACATTTATTATAATTATTTTAAGCTGTTATCTAGAGGGTATTGCTGCCCATCTATCTGCTAACAGTGTTTCACCCCGTGCCTCGTGAAGCACGTAACGCCGTTGGTCCTGTGGCTGATCTCTTTCCGGTCGTGTCGGGCGCAGTCCCATCGAACTATGAGAGTGAGGGAATAGACAGTGCTGTTGTGCTAGCGCATACACTCTAGCCATCTTCCGTTGAGACTGACCCCGTTACCGAAATTCGGTTTGGAGTACGTTATAACTAACAAGTATTGCACGGCACTGAATTACCCTAATTTAAAAATGAGCTTCTAAAAATGCGGTTGTGCAATTGTCCAAATAGACATATTTTGACACAATTTGTTCATTAATCTACGCTTAAAATATTCGTGTTAAGATAAGATCTTGGGTGATTTTATTATTATAAATAAAATTTGAAATAAAAGGCAGTGTGACACTCAAATCAACAAAGAAAAAAGTCGAAGCGCTGCTTTCATTTTACGTGATGCAAAACCATGTCAACTTATTGTAAAGACTCGAACTCACGTACACGTATCTTTATATGTATATTTCTTCTGTCCGTGTTTATGTGACTGAACTCCTCCTAAACCGCTGAACCGGTTTTGAAATTTTTTTGTGTTTAAGTTTATTCGAGAAGTGTTTAGATTCACAACCAGCGCCACATAGCTTAGGTACTAGGTGGCGCTGTTGTCGAGATCCAGAAATCACCCGCGCGAATCTAAGGTGGATCACTAGTATATTGTATGTATATTATATGTAACTTTTTACTTATTTAACATTTTTGATCAATTAAAGGTGGAAATGGCGTGCGAACTACAGAAGCCGCTGTTTGTTCACGAAAAGGAAGCTCAAGACGACTTGCTAAAGATCTTAGACGAGTTCGGAAATCGCCTCCCGCCCGTGGTCATCCACTCTTTCACAGGCTCCGTGGAGCAAGGGCTTAAGTACATCGAGAAGGGCTTCTATTTGGGCATTACCGGGTACATTTGCAAGGACAAATCCGACGGTGGGATAAGGAGGTTGTTGTCAGAGAGGATTCTGCCCTTGGACAAGTTGCTCGTGGAGACCGACTCGCCATTCATGTACCCGAACATGAGGGCTTCTAAACTGCCGTTGCATGTAAAGGACTCATTGACAGAGAGGTAAGGAAGTGTTTGTTTGTTGTCTATAGTTTATGATGATGAGTGGAATTTTTTATAGAATAAAGCTGACAGACGAGTACAAAGTCTATCTGATGGTAAGAAGATTCCGTTGCTCCTCTGCTAGACACTTACATCCATTCTAGATTAAGAATCGACACAACAGCATCAGGCTTCTATTTTACTCTTTTTTATAGAATAAGGGTGACAAACGAGCACACAGTCCACCTGATGGTATGTGGTTGCTGCGGCTCTCGCTCAGCTCGAGTTACGTAACCGCTTTCAGTGCCTACAAGATTGCAATGCAGTGGACGATATGAATGACAAGCTCGTGGAAACTGTCTATGCGGTCGGAGCTAAGTTCTGCAAGACCCGCCGCAGAAGAACACAAAAACTCTCCGATCACACTCTTAATCTCATGGCTGTTAGACGGAAGATGAGGCTGCAATCGTCAACAGATTTGACAGCATACAGCCAACTGAACAGACAGATCTCAATGCATGGGCGAGACTTACGCAACTTTAATACTGCTCGTATTAAAGAAGCGATCGAGCGGAACCAGGGCTCCAAAGTCTTTGCCAGAGATCTGTCTGCCAGTAAGAGCCAACTGTCAAAGCTGAAGACTGAGTGTGGCAGCATCGTTTCCGGGACACCTGAGATTTTGAGTGAGATTGAGAGGTTCTATGGGCAGCTGTACACATGATCTTTGGAGCCACACGCAAGTGTGAGTAACGATCCAAGAGCAAGTCTTATCCGACACTATTCCGAGGATATCCCGGATGTCAGTCTAAGCGAGATTAGAATGGCTCTCCAGCACCTTAAAAACGGCAGGGCCTCAGGCGAGGATGGAATTACAGCGGAGCTTCTGAAAGCGGGTGGAACACCGGTACTTGAAGTCCTTCAGAAGCTCTTCAATTCCGTCCTCCATGGTGGCACTACTCCAGAGGCGTGGAGCAAAAGTGCGGTGGTCTTGTTCTTTAAGAAAGGCGACAACGCTCTCTTGCAGAACTACAGACCGATTTCCCTTCTGAGCCGCGTCTACGTGCTGTTTTCGAGGTCATTACGAATCATCTCGTTTTCGAAAGCCGGTTTCCGAAAAGGCATCAGTACAATAGACCACATACATACCCTGCGGCAGATTGTACAGAAGACTGAAGAGTACAATCTTTCACTTTGCCTGGCGTATGTGGACTATGAGAAAGCCTTTGATTCCGTCGAAAATTTGGGCGGTGCTACAGTCCCTTCAGCGGTGCCAAGTTGACTGTCGGTATATCGAAGTGCTGATGTGTTTGTACAGTAGGGCTACGATGGCTATCCGAGTACAGAACCAAAGCTCGAAACCTATCCAACTGCAGAGAGGTGTAAGACAGGGTGACGTTATATCCCCGAAACTCTTCACCGCTGCATTGGAAGACGTTTTCAAGCTACTGGACTGGAAAGGATACGGTATTAACATCAATGGCGAGTACATCACTCACCTTCGATTTGCCGACGATATAGTCCTTATGGCAAAATCGCTGGAGGACTTAAGCACTATGCTCAATGACCTTCAATAGTGCCTCCCAACGGATAGGTCTTAAGATGAACATGGACAAAACGAAGATCATGTTTAATGTCCATGTCACACCTATGCCGGTAGTTGTTGGGAGCACTATGCTCGAAGTTGTTGACGAGTACGTTTACCTAGGGCAAATAGTCCGACTAGGTAAGTCCAACTTCGACCGAGAGGTCAATCGACGGATTCAACTCGGCTGGGCAGCGTTCGGGAAATTACGACATATCTTCTCGTCAGGTATACCTCAATCTCTAAAAACTAGATTGTAAAACCAGTGCGTGTTGCAAGTGATGACTTACGGATCTGAGACGTGGTCCTTCACTGCTGGCCATATGAGGACGCTCAAGGTCGCTCAGCGAGCTATGGAGAGGGCTATGTTCGGAGTTTCTCTGCGTGATAGACTCAGAAATGAGGATATCCGCAGTAAAACCAGAGTGACCGACATAGCCCAACGGATTAGTAAGCTGAAGTGGCAATGGGCCGGCCATATAGCTCGAAGAACCGATAACTGATGGGGAAGAAAGGTTCTCGAGTGGCAGCCTCGTACCGGTAGGCGTAGTGTAGGGCGACCCCCCACTAGATGGAGTGACGACATGGTAAGATATGCAGGAAGTCGATGGATGCAGGTGGCTCAGGACCGTGCTTTGTGGCATTACTTGGGGGAGGCCTATGTTCAGCAGTGGACTTGTAAAGGGCTGTAATGATGATGATGATAATGTTATCATACTGGTTCTGTGTACCCTGCAGACCAGAACACAGGTGTGCAAGCACTGCCATTTGCACAATTGGGCAAGATGTTGGTACCTACTCAGACGGACTCGTAGGCGGAAAGGAAACTTACCACCTCCATGGGCTGCTGCATCACTCACCATCAGCTGAACTATGACTCTGACTTTGTTTGTCACTTCAGTTTTATATATCTATCAATGTGGTTTTGTGCACATTTTGTGGGAATATAATTTTTTTATATAAGTAGGGGAGATTGGGGGAATTGAGAACGGCGGGTAATTGGGAACCACTAGATAGGTAATACTTCCCCCCACACTACCCCGTCCAGCACCTGTTTGACTGACGCATCCAGCCCCCCTCTGTGCGTATGCAATAGTGAGAGTGAAAGATCGCTTCGCGCTGACACGGAGAGCCGAAATTATTTTTTTTGCATTTCTGTTATATTTTTTGTCGTGTGTTATTATAATAAATGTAAATATCTAGTATATCTAATATAAGTTCTAAGACACCGTATTTCGGTACTGTCAGGCAACGTACTATCCGTTTTCAAACACCACGTGATTTGAAGTTCACGAAAAAATACTGTTGAAGGTGGCAGCCATTTTGTTTATATTGACTACTGCGGGTAATTGGGAACCGCGTTAGGCGGGTAATTGAGAATGAATATATGTGGTAGACTGCTGCAGTTATATTAGTAGTATAGTTGTACACGGGGGGGAAGGATTAGTGGGCTTTTATGGATTTTTGATTTTGATGAGGATAGATGTAGATCTATGGTTGTTCCCCAATTACCCCTAGCGTTCTTATTATCCCTAATGCTTCTGGGTGATTGTATAAAAATGTTTTAACGGTGCAAATTGCTTTAGAATCCTTGAAATTACATACGCCGCCCAATGTATCACAAAATGCAGCTGCTACTGGATCTTACAATCTTTAATTCAATGAAGATGGCATACAAAAAAGAATGTGAGCTATACATGGTTAACAATCCTGTCAAACGAATAAGCGATTATGAGGTTGGAGAACTTTTACAAAAGCGTACAACAAAACAACTAACATAAGCAAAGCTCTCAATGGATTTAGAGTCGCTGGAATTCATCCAATTGATCCTAACCAATTTAAAGACAGTTTTAAAAATACGGTAATTGACCAATCTCACACCAGTCAGACTCAAGAGTGCGATGTTCATGAAACTGCAGCTGAGTAAAGTTTGAATGAGTCCGTTAACACAGTCAGCCGTAGTCAAACACCAACACAGGATGCCACTTCTATTCCAGAAAATGACAACGATTTGAGCGTTACCATTAATACTCCTTATCTTTCCACTCCTATGCCTCTTGCCGAAATTTTCAATGGGCTGTTATTCTTAAAACAGAACCACTTTTAAGCTACAGAATAAGAAGCATTCCCAGATTTTATCCAGTACCTCAATAAACATTCAACTAGAAGAAAAATGAAAAAAGTGAGCGGAAAGCTAAAAACGAAAAAGTTTCTATTAAAAAACTACACAAAAGAAGCCACGAGTCGATTTAAAGGAATCAAACATTTGAAAAAGGGTTTACAAGGAAATGAAAGCGAAGAGGAATTTCACTGTGTAATATGCAACGAAAAGCATGAATCCCTACCGATCGAATATTGGATCATGTGCACCATTTGTTAACTATGTGCTTATGAAAAATGTACTACGTACCGACGATACTAGTAAAGGTTACGTGTGTGATATGTGCCACATAAGTTAATAATTGTAGTTTATTTTAAAGATTTAATTATGTCGTTCTTAACCTGTCAGGAGTAACCATACTGTTCACATTTCCCCCGCAGGATGATCTCAATTCCCCATAGGGTATGTAGTATGGGTAAAAAGGAATGGCAATGTTTTTTGTTTTCGTTCATATTTCTAATAAAACATTGTTTTGAAATAATACTAGTTTTTACGGAATTTATCGCGTATATTTAACTTTTTAAATACCCGACGTTTCGAACGCTTTACAGCACTGTCAGCGAGATTAAAGACCTACATCTGGCAGACAATGAAACTATGGTCAGTTTTGATGTGCAGTCATTGTTTACATGCTTACCTGTTGAAGACTGCATCTCAATTGTAACTAGAAGGCTGGAAGAAAACAACATGCCCTTAGAATATGCAGTATTACTCAGACACTGCCTTACATCTGGCTACCTATTGTGGAAGGAGGAGTTCTACAAGCAAGTAGATGGTGTGGCGATGGGCTCACCTGTATCTCCCATTGTCGCCGACATATTCATGGAAGACTTTGAGGAGAAAGCCCTGCTTAGTTCTCCCATAAATCCAAGATTCTACAAGCAGTACGTAGACGACACTTTCACAATTCTACCTTTAGATAAAGTAATTGCATTTTTAGACCATCTTAACTCTATAAATTCTAAAATTCAGTTCACAATGGAGTTAGAGGCAAACAATTCCTTAGCTTTTCTAGATGTGTTAGTAATTCGGAATCCTGATAACACCTTGAGCCATACTGTGTATAGAAAAAAGACCCATATAGATAGATATTTAAACGGTGATTCTCACCACCATCCGAGTGGGGAGGGATGTGAAGTAGGCAAAGGTTTTGTCTGATAGTTAGAGGAGTCTGACAAGATTGGCTACATCTTGAAGCGCGCTTCCATCAAAACAGCCGCTGAAGAAGATTGGTCAGTTTTTACCATCAGTCAAGTGTAATGTCCCTCTGCAAGATGCAGAAGTGTACAAGCTTGATTGTGAATGTGGTCTCTCCTACATAGGACAAACTAAAAGATCAATAAAAACCCGCGTTAAAGAACATATAGCTGATGTGAAGAATCGACGCTCCGGGAAGTCTGCAGTCTGTGAACACGTACAGGATCGCCCCCGTCACTACTTCAGATTTGATAGACCGCAAATCCTCGCTAAAGAACACCGATTCCTTCCAAGGATGATTCGCGAGGCTATTGAAATTAAAAAACATCCTAATTTCAATAGAGAAGATGGCTGGGTGCTACCATCTGCTTGGGATCCTATAATAAATAAAATTAAATCCCAACCCAAGCATACAACTGCAAGACTTCAAGATACCATAAGTTCATATTGTATAGATCGGAACAAAAGTTAAATTTTAATCTATGGTAACCGCGGTTAACTATGACATAATGACGTTGAACATCTCAGTCCCGCCCGTAACCATGAGTGCTGTAAAGCGTTCGAAACGTCGGGTATTTAAAAAGTTAAATATACGCGATAAATTCCGTAAAAACTAGTATTATTTCAATGTGTAGTGTTCGCGTAAATATAAGAAATCATTATGTAAAACATTGTTTTTTAAGATTTTTATTGTCACTAGTAAGTAGATAGATAAGCAAACTTTATGTTGCAGTAAAAGTTGATTATGTCTGTGAGTTTTTTCTATTATTATTGAGCGTTAGAAGTTAAGTGTTCCCAATTCCCCTAATAGGTGGGAAACGAGCATTCGGCTCACTTATACTTGCACTTGTAGTAGTTGCCTTTGATGTATTTCTAGTTTGTTATTACATAATCCATGGGTATCGTAAGAGATGACAGACCTACCCCTGATAACAGCTGAATAAAAAAGACTGTGTTTACGGACACGCTTGCCAAGGGCGGCAACTATGTCAAAACTCCCCCCTAAAAGACGATTCAAGGGGAGGCCTTTATTCAGCAGTGAAATTTTAATAGGCTGTAAAGATCTAGGGCTAATGACTTGTTTGTTCCAGATCCATGAATTTTGTGAACCGCTATTGCACCTTCCAACGTAATGAGCCGTGTGCCTTGCCTGCTATAGTAGAGCTTGCTGCCGGTTTCATGGGCCGCAGTCCTCAGGACGTGGCCTTAGCCACCGCGTTCAACGCACTCAAGCTGTTTGGTCTCAGCCACTGAGAGCTACAACTCATAAGTAGATAATACAACGAGGAGATATGAGGCTATAGGTGAAGGTAGTTAGTATGGAAGCTACTTAACTAACTCCTCTTGGGGAGGGGGATTTTTAACCTGCTTTTAGGGTCAATTCTGAGCATATAAAGTGACTATATAGGCAAGGCTCAGTATTATGAAAACTATTTTGTAATTAAAAATGTTATCACGTAAGGCTGAAAGATTGTTGAAGGAAGACGGTAGCATAAGGCAGCCAGCCAATGCTTGATACAAGGTCGTCAAGATCACAAAGAATTGAATATGGCCTAAGATTTGAATTAGGTTTTCTCTTCGTCATACTCAGGTTGTTAAACCTTGCCATATATAATACTACTATGTTATTAGACAATAGTAATTGTCGGTTGAGCCACTAAAAACCATCATCCCTCCCCAAAAAAGAAATATGATCAATTTCTTATAAAAAAAGCTACAAGAGACCCAATTCCTCGATTGTATTAATTTAATTAATATAGAATCGATTACATACGCGTTTCTACTAACACTGTATTCGTGCCTTCTTAATTGCAATAAGATAAATTGTATTTATAATTTAATGTAATGTTACCGAATGGAGAGATTTATTAATTATTCATATTAATGAAACGGAATATCCGTTTCTTCAGATGTAGAATGACAATAATAAATAATTGAAAACTGAAATGACTCGATCGTTTAAAATACTCAGAAATCTGTACAACGTGCATTTCGTGACGACTGATAATAATAACAATTGCTAGTTTTGATACAATTTGAGGCTAAGACTAATAACATTCGAAAATTCTTGCCATCGAATATAAATAAGACTAATATAATGCCTCTCTAAATTAAGTAATTTTAGATTGGTATACGAAAATGAATTCATTGTTAAGTGTGAAGGAAAAGGTGGAAATGATACGCCATGTTTGATTTATCGACCATGAAATTCGTGGTGGAAAACCCCTACCGCTTATATCCTAATCAAGAGTTGATTTTGCAAAATCAAATACATTATACGTAAAATATACATTTCAAATGCGTACCTGAGCGTTTTAAAAGTCTATAAATAATGCCATTTTGTTAAGATAGACTTTAAGCGCGAGGAGCGTAACAAAGCATTGATTTATTTTTCTTTTGTATGTTGTCTGTGACATTTCTTGTTTAAGTTATTATTGTGGCTTTTTATATTTACTGTAGTATTTGCACGTGCCTTTGATGTTTAGCATTGAATATGGTGGCAATAACTTTAGCAACTTAGTCAGAATGATCTCAACTATTTTACTCGTGTATATAGAGAACTTTATCAATAGATTTGCCCGGTGTTTGTAAAAAATAATCTCTTGAATCGTTTGAGTAGTTCATGTCATCAGAGACAGCGGTTAGTGGCGCAGGTATTGTCGAGAGCGAATTGACGCTGTACAATTGTGTATACTTGCCTAATTTATTTTTTTAGTCAAGCTCGACTCGTTTTCGACAACTGCGTCATTAATTGTTTGTTTTTCTACCGATTTATCGCATACCCTGAGCGGTTGGGCTCGTGTGGTCCACTGCCACGAGGCAGGCCTGCCACAGTTCTGTTGCCACCGTATGCACCCGCACGGTATAGGTGTTTACTTTGCTCTGCCCAGAGCATTCCTATTCGAATTAATTCTATTTTCGCATCGAATATTGTACATATTTATAATTGTGTAGCTAAAGGTTTAATGCTGGTAGTCACAACGAAATCAAAGACTGCAAGTATTAAAAGAATAAATATTGTGGATTTTGACATGTTAATTATTATGTTTTGTAATGATATTTTTAAATTATTTAATCGTTTATTAGAACCGGCTGCGTTCTGGACCGATAGAGTGATGTGACATAATATATTAGATTTTTCGCCGAGAGTCCAATGCGCGTCGGAGTAAGAGTATTGTTATTGATTCCTTTATTTTTTGACAATTACTTTGTTAATAGATGTTAAGGCGCCCATTGGGATGTGAGGATTTACTAAGAAACGCACATTTATAGCGGTGCAGTTTTTAGTAAATCCTTCCGGAAATATTTATATACACGAATCCCGTGGGCGATGTACTGTAGTGCCTTCGACAGAACGTCCTTTTGTGATATAATATTTTTCATAGATTGTACAGATTATTACTTTGAATAAAAATTCCAAAAACATTGGCGTTAATTTATTTACCTCCTCTTTCCCACGCAAGTATTTAGTCCCAAGTATTTAGTCGTATTTAGTACCCGTGCGTGTGGTTAAAGAATGGGATTGAAAATGGCGTCGCCATCTGTAAAAACCAAAAAATACGTTGCGATATGTGTTTTTCGTACGTCCTTTAACTTCAGTCCAAATTGTCATTGAAATCAATGCTTACGAAGTACCAAAAAAAATCAGTCCGGTTTCGTTTTGTTTATTTATGAGCTAGACGCGTTCTGAGAGTTTTCTTCATAATTAATGTTGGTTTCGTTTATTAACATTTTTGTCTAAACTATTGACATGCCTAAGGAGTGTAGAAGTAAGGAGTACCAACTCCCATAGTAGAATAGTTGAAAGTGTCCATCTGTAAGCAGTAAATAACAGTTCAAAAACTCTCCACAACAGCGCTGAACCAGCTAGCTACTGGGATGAAATGAACTTAGCAGTTGTCGTCGGTTTGTGCTGCTAAACTGCTCAGTAGCTTTAAAATCTAAAATAGTTTTACTTAGTAAATATAACCTCGAAAAAGTCTATCCCGCTATTATTTTTCAGCACGTTCTTTAAAATTTGGCACGTAGCTATAGTGGCGCCACCCTTATTTAATGGTTTTCTATGGACACTTTTTAATACACAGTCTGTACTCCTTACTTCTACACTCCATAGACATGCCATTTCGAATTCCATTATTTATCCGTACACTGTTCGTATAACAATTACATGTTGCCACTTTAAATCTCATGTTTACGTGTTACTTATTACAAAAAAAATAATGTGTCAACAGTGCTACTTGCCTAGCATGTAAAAGACAACTAATGGTTAGCCGATGAGTTAGTCAACCTATCATTTTTTTTTCATAATTTACCATCTAACCAAGAAACAATTTCCCCAAATTTTTTGTCAGACTGGCTTGCTATTTTTTATCTCTTCGGATATTACAGTCGTGACACTATTTATGTCATTCTATTACAGCCTATCAAAAGTCTACTGTTGAAATAGGTTACCTCATAGCCATTTAGTGGCCTTGGGATATTATCGTCATTAACTGTCCGCGAAGTTATTAATAACTACGCAATGGATGCATAAGTACGTCGTGAAAAGTTTTGGAAACAAAATATAACAATCAGACTAGGCTGTATGGTCTAAGACCTTCATAATTGTTACGAAAACCACAATTGTTTGAGTTTGATGTTTTTGGTGGAAACTCGACCGCCTACGCCTGTGGATTGTTGCTTCTGTATTATCGTATAAATAACGGCTTAAAGTGGATTTTGATATGAAGAATCGTTACGATTTTGTGTATCGAATGTCTGCACATGAGAAATGTAATAGAAACGATGTTACAATTGTTTCGATACGATGATGTTAAATCTCAAAGATTTTCAACCGCATGGCCGACTCGAGATACTGTCGTTATTAACTTTTTGAGCACCAAAGTCGCCTACACTTGACCAGCACTTACGGGTCTTGTGCGCCAACGACGTCTATAATCGACAAAAACCAGGCCTACAATAATAGGAAATATAGATATTGCAAAATGATTACATGTATTTTAATTCTACATTTCTCAATATAGAATATCCCAGCAACATGTGAGTACAAAAACATGTCTTTTAGACCCTAAGGAGAAACATTGAATTAAAAACATGGATTTTTATTCATGCTATGGAGTGTAGAAGTTTTCGGATTATTCAAAGTACTCTGTGGTACAAGTATTACACTCCATAATCCAACCAAATACCACAAACTAATAAGAGAACTAACGCCAAATACTAATACTATATCGTAGACGGAGAAACAGGATTCTCTGTCTACGTACTATGCTACTATGTCCACTGTCCAGCACGCTAAAGTCGTCTATGGTTGACAGCTAGTGTTGTAATGCAGATTTCTTGAAAACTATAACTCAAACGTGTTATTATTTTCAATTATTATTGATATTTGAATTAAACTAAAGGTAACGGTAAAGGAAACACAAAATCAGGTACTTGAATTTAAAATATTCACCAAGACAACTTTATGTAATAAATCTAATGTTTCAACTCTGGCGCACCCTTAGCGCGTCATCAATTATCAGTTCACTGGTCTTCTGCGCGGTAAACACACAATTATTCTTAAAATTCAGCTTATCTCGACGAGATTTATCGTAAGTGCCTTTTTCCCCTTTATACTTGGTCGAAACAGTCACTAAAAATATATGAGTACCTACTTAATTTATATATATACTCGTGTAAGGCTATTTTCCGTTAAAGATACATTTTTTATTTAAATAGGTAACTCTTGTACGGCTATGCAGTAAGTCGCTAAAGTGCTAGTTATTAACCTTTTGAGCGCCACGCCAAACAAAAATACCTACGAAAAAAACATTGCTGCCAAGAGTTGATATATCGATAACACAAAATAATTGGTTTTTGTTAGTTTTTTATACAATAAATGACTCTTTATAATCGGGTATGTTTTATTTAATCTTGTGCTGCCTTCCACTCTTTTTATATATGTACTTTGTACATAAATAAAAAACAAACAATAACAATAAAATAGTAGTAAACCACAACACTACTCTCCATCGTGATGACGTCACTGTCACGACTGGACGACAACGGCGTAGCTGACCTTTCTTTTTGAAACTTTCTTAGAGATGTAACCGTGTCGCACGTTGTGTATCGATTTCAAAATCGATCTAACCAAAAAAATACAGACATTGATTCAAAATATTTTATGGCGAGGCGTAGGCCAAGTGAATCACAGAAGAAAAGTCACGCTCTTATGAAAATGGAGGTTTCATATGATGCTGATGTTGCTAAAT